CGTGCGGGGCTATTTTTCCCCGAAAAATTGTATTTTAGAGTTCCGGTTTTTCCTACTTACGCGGTTCCACACCCGGGGAGTTTTTTTTTTTTCACACGGCCTCCGTGTATTTTACAGTTTCAACGGATTTCAATGGGCTGTTCTTTTGCCGTCGAAACCAATTTGGGGCCCCCTTTTTTAATTAAAGAATTCTATAAGTTTGCCGGAGATTGGGATTTAGTTTAAAGGGGGGAATCCATTTGAAAATTCGTTTTCGGGGATTGGGGAGGGAGGTAAATTTGGAAGGTTTTTCCCCCCAATAGTTAGATGGTTTGAAGTTAAAACCCATCAATTTTGACTTAACAGAACCAGTCTCTGAAGAAAACGACCAAACCCTTCGTTCTTTATTTTAACAAATTTATTTTGTTAAGTAATAATATTTATAAATTTTTGAAACGATATCTTTGAATTCCATTGCATTTTATGTTGTGACAAAAAATTACTCATAATGGTCATTTGTTGCCTATTATACTTCATATTTAACATTTTTTAATTAATCTTTAACTCTTAATTTTAAATCACCCTTAATTTTTTAAAAATAAATTATTATTGGAATATATAAATACCGTATATATAGTTAGATAGCAAATTATCTAATTAAGTTATTGGGAAATATGTTACTTTTCATAACCTAAAAACCTGATTGCTTCTTCTAATTGATACTGTAAGATTTTTTGACTTTGAATGTTAGTGTCTAATAACATCAAAAAATTCGACAAATTGATTACTTCATTGCGCCAGTAAACTTTTAAGATGTATTCAGAGATACAAGTTAAATCTGAATCTTTTAAATTCAAATTAGAATTAATATAGTTCAATGTTCTTTTAATTATCAATTTTAATGATTCTAAAAAGCTTTTCTTTAAAGGATCGTTTAATAAATTTGTATCAGGTCCCCAATTTTTCAAATTATTCAAAGGATGTTTAAATTGATTGAATGGTGGAAAATATCCATGATATCCTAATGAATATGGCTGAACTGGTATAACATTTTGTGATGTTAAATTTGTTGGAGTTCTAAAATTCTTTTTATAATTTTGAGGTATTTCACGAACCCATGACGCTTTTATTATATTACCATAAATCAATTTACCATTAAACAATTCAAATAATTTCGATGCTTCATACTTTGATTTACACTTTATATAACCAGATAAAAGCGTAGTATTGTTGTTATTACTGTTAGAATTGTTACTATTATTATTGTTAATAACTTCTGCATATATTTGGATATCTTCAGCATGGATATTAGAGTGTTGACAGAATTTAGTTAAAAAACTGACGCTACAATCTGGTGACAAATTTGTTAAGTAAATAATTTTTTTATAATTATCATAATTTTGGTATGTTGAATAATTTTGTGATTCATGTAATTTTGAATGAGCTTTTGTCACACTTATTACTTTTTCTTTAAAAGTTTTATTGTCATAAGTTTGTATTGCTTTAATTGAATCCGAACTTTTCTTATAAGTTATGATACTCCATAATGAATTAAATTTAGGAACTTTTGAAGAAAAGACTGATTTAATTGGACCAGCAACACTAAAATAATCTAAAATTTCTTCATCAGTAGTGTTTATTGGTAGATTTTTGACGAAAACGGAATTTGGATATGTTTTTTTATTTGTTTCATCAATTATAGAGTTTGAGTCAATAACATAGTTTGATTCAGTACTAGAGATATTATTACTGTTGTTGTTGTTATTATTAGTACTATTATTTATAATAGTATTGATATTGTTATTGATTTGATTTGAAGTGGATTCTAAAGCGGTTTTATTATCATCTTCCTCTACAATTAATTCTTCTCTAATAAAATCATTTGCATCTAATTTCAATTTTCTCTTTTCAAATTCAGGGAAGGTTCTGACATCTTTGTCAAAATGTAACCCACATAAAATTTTAGTACCAAAAAATTCTTTATTATTAAAATCTTTTATAACTTCTTTTGCAGATTTATCATTATCGAAGTAAACAAACCCAATATTTTTCCTTTTATCTAATTTACAAGATAAAATTTTGCCATATTTCTTAAAAGTGTCATAAAATCTTCTTGTAGTCAATTCTTTATTATCTAATGGTAAATTACAAAAAAACAAGTTTGTACCAATATTTTTCCTATAAAATGAATTTCTTAATGATGGCATAATCTTAACTTCATTTCCAAATAAGTTGATATAATTAAATTCTTCTGTTGCCTTTTCGGCATCTTCTTTATCTCCAAAATTTAAATAACCATAACCCAATGATTCCTTTGTTGTGGAATTCGTACAAATTTTGACAGATACTAATGATGGAAATTTCTTAAATACTTGCTTTAATTTTTCTTCGTTAACATCTAATGATAAATTTCCAATGAATAACGCTGTCACTAGAGGTTTTTGATTTTTAAAATTCTTGGACTTCTTTGATAAAGAAGTTGAACGACTAATATTATTTATTTTATTGTTTTGATTTATTTGCCTCTTTTTATTATTATAGGTAGAATCATTTTTTGCTATATTTTTATTTTGAATTTCCTTATTTTCATTTTCACCATCTCTTATAATATTTAAAGAGATATCATTAAGAACTCTTCTCCTGCTCGATGATGGTGACATACTGAACTACAAAAATTCTTATTTATTTTGAATATATTTTACTTTGATATCTATATCTAACTTTCATAAAAAATAATTTTTTTCAATTTATTGTCAACTTTTATCAAGAACAACAATAAATAAACGACATTAAATAAAAATTAGCTATTAAAGTATAAAACTGAAATCAAAAGTGGAAGTAATATCTGATATATTCCAAAAGAGGTTTCTTATTCATAGAGTTTCTAATTTAATTAGGTCTTTATATACCTCAAATTTTAATAATTCAACCATTAAAATATTAATCAAAGTTTGACACAAAAGTTGTTACTAATAATGAAACGACATACACAATGCAAGGCTTATTTCAGACAGATAAAAATCTCTCAGCCGACTGGAGTATATGTAATATGAATGACATATCTTAGTAGTTGGCATTAAAGTTTAAAATTGTATATACCACCAGTTAATTCATTGATGAGTCTAATACTTTTAGACTTATAAGCTATTTGCTGTCTCCGTCCCTGTATGTCCTTCCTATCTAAAATTTATACCTATATATTTATTATGTGGATATATAGATATATTTTTTAATAGTTTTTGTTGCCTTGTGATCACATGTCCATTCGATATTGTATTGTTTTCAACATAGTTTAATGCAAATTAGTTTTATAATCTATGAGACCAGATAATACGTGCTATCATCGCTGACACTTATAAAGACTAATAGTAACTACTATTTGAAACAACTGTATATTATTGTATATTACTTACTTACTTTGTACATTAGAAGAAGAAAATATAGAACTCTTTAATTAATAAATATACTTATTAACAGTACCAGTCTACTACCAAACAGACGAATAGAATAAAAGCAACACCAAGCACTTATTCAACGTACAATTACTAGATATCTATAACTAAAGAATTCACAACAAAGAATACAAAAGTATTTTTTGTAAATCGAACCCTTTATTTACAATTTTTTTGTAACTTACAATTTAATAAATCCAATTGAAACTTGATTACCTTCCTTGTCATTAAAAATGGACGGTGATAAAATTATGACTGATGCTGAAACTATCAGCACAGATGAAACCCGTCTACAAAACTTAGAAACTCAAATGAGTGAGTTTAGTAGAGACATAAATGAGATTAAAGCTAATTCTATTAATTCTGACAAAAGAATGCAAGAAATGCAATCTATGTTTGAACAATTAACAGGCATGTTCAAAGCTCAAAGCCGTACGGAAGAGATTCATGGAGAAACATTGGAACAAGCTTCAATTGAATTCTCGAAACTTTAAAGAAATGAAGAAGAAATGAGAAGCTATCTGGAAAAGAAAGAAGAAGAATTTATTGGAATTGAAGAAGATGGAAAGCAAATTAAAAATAGAATCGTCGAAGAATAATCAAAAGCAAAAAGATTTGAATCTTTGATGGAACAAAGAATTATGCGAATAGAAGAAAGACTTAACAATGGAAATCCAAATGATATAAATGGATTTAAAAGCAGATCAAAATTACCATCTCAAAATGAAACTTTAGCAAAAGTGGAAAGACATTTCCCTTCGTTGGTAATCTATGGGAATCATAGTTTAGTTGCCAATTGCAACAAAGACTATAGTGAAGTTTCGGTATCAATGAATAATGACGCCATTTTGAAAGATGAAGATATTGAAGACCCGCTTAATGTTCTACTGACTATTCAGAGTTTATTAGTTGGAAAACATGTTCGTTTTCAAGACCGGGGAAATTTCCTATATTCCTGTTGTAAGACAAATGCTCGCAGTTATCTTACTGATCAACGAGGTTTTATTGTCGATTGGACAACAGCTATTGCGAAATTCTTTCAAACCTTTGATTTCGGTGCAAGAACCCAATCCGAATTGAGTGAACTTTCTCACTTCAATCCTAAAGCAGGAGACGATGCAAGAGAATATTTCGTAAACCTGGTTCATAAAGGTAAAGCAATCCGAGGAGCATCTACATTATCTATTGTTACCACTAAGATTAATGATATTTTGATGCACGAGAATCTGACTATCGTACGTCCAAATATAACGGATATCCATAATTTTATGGAGTTGTTCTTTCACGTTAAAACCAATATACCAAGAGGGATTATCCTTCAAGGCAAATATAGCAAACCAGGCTCTGCTCCAGTGTTTGCTATCGACAGCTCCAAACCCAAATCTTCCTCGTACCCTCGTCGTAAATCCAAATTTTCTACTGCAACCTTTTATTGTGTCAATTGTTCCTGTTCTAAATGTTCTGGAACCATTATACCTTACATGAAGAGAGGTTTCTCCAAATATAAGTGTGAAAGATGTTCTTCAAGGATAAGAAGTTACAAGAAATCGAATATTGCAGATATGAAAGCCAACGTTTTGGAAACCGCAAACCATCCTATCACGACAGACGATAGTAACACGTATTAAACTATGTTGAAACAATACAGTACGTTAATTATAATTTCGTGTATAGTGAGTTTATGTGTTTGGAATGTTAAAAATAAATTGGACGAGTCCGGAGTCGAACCGAAGACCTCTCCCATGCTAAGGGAGCGCGCTACCAACTACGCCACACGCCCGTAATTTGTTGAAAATTTTGTGAAAAACATATCAATGGAATTGGTAAACTTTTATTTTTTCAATGAAGTCACATGATTATACACAGATGTCAACCAAAATAGGGTGTTGTACCACAATCTCATCGTTAATACAAACGTATTATCTTTTCTTGAGGCTTTATGTTAAATTTTTCAGGTCATCTGGAACTTCATTAATTAGTGTTCCGATATCATAATTGTAACATTAGTAAATAGTTAAGACAAATTGTAGTGTCTGATATATAAATAACCAATGAGCCGCCATAATTACTAGTAAATAATTTTGTATGTGACACTATAGAGAGTATATGTACCCATATTATGTTAACTAATGATTAATAATAATTTTGGTATCTATCAGCGTTATAAAAAGGTCAACAATTAAAAGTTTTCGATTCTTTTTAATATAATGTTTAGTTTGGATTGTAGAAGAATTATAAACACTCAACTATGAAAAGGGTTTTAATAGTAAGATTTGAAACAAAAATAAAAAATATAACAATATACTTTCTCAGTTCCATTTATATTAATAACCACTTTAAAGAGAAATATTTGATGATCCTTTAATAAGTGTTTCTAGATGTTACATAATATTTTAGCCTGTTTAACAAGAAGGCTTTTCGTTTAAAGATAGAACTTAACTTCAAATGGATTGTAGTTCAATGTATCCAATAAATTGCAGTCACAAATAAAAAATACTCTGTATTGAATATTTTAAAAAAAATATTTATCTTTTATATACATGTTTCAAAATTATAAAACCGTTAAAAAAAAATCATTAATACATCATCGAACGTTTCTCATCATTTTTAAAGTTCATTTTTTATCCTTCAGACCAAAAAATCCTAAAAGGCCATTTACTGATGATGTCCTATTTTGAGAACTGGTATCGAAATTATCATACGAAGGAGTAGCTTGAAATTGTAATGCCCTTGTTGAAAAATCGTTAGGAGGTGAAGTTATCGGCGTCATTGTTGGAGGGGATTCAACATCAAGAGTTTTATTCAAAGAACTTGTCTTAGAGGGGACAGCTTGAAATTGTAACGCCCTAGTAGAGAAATCATTTGGCGGTACCATGATAGGTAAAATTTCAGGGGACTTCTCCGAACTTAAACTCTTACGTCCTCCAACAATTCCAGATGAAATGCTATTTGCAGAGCTATTTACATTTATCGAGTCTCCTGCTAACTTGAGGTCCATCGAAGAAAACATACTTTGATTCCCAGACAAGACGCTGCTACTTTTCTTTATAACTTCAGTACTTTGCGCATGACTATCATTACCCAATATCATAGACGTGTATGATTTCAACCTTAAAGTTTTTGGTTTGATCAGTTTCTTCCCAGTGACTTGAACGTCATTACCACTCCTTGGATATACTGGTGGTAAATCTTCTTCCAATGTTGTTGACTTCATCGCAAAATCATATGATGGAACTCGACTTATAGAGTCCTTAGACCATTCCTTCTTTGGAGATGAAATCTCATTTGGCCTAAATAAACTTGAAATATTTCCTAAAGATTTGCTCATAATATTAGGATTTAAAGGACTGCCTGCAATATGAGTATTCCCAGGTACATTTCCTGTCAGATCACCATTGTTTATTGTAATTCCAGGAGCATAATAATTTCTATTGATTCTATCAGTGGCTTTATCGAAGTTCTGAATATTTATAGATCTGATATCTGACAATGAATTGATTCCAGTATTCGACGATGGAGATTGGATACCAGAATGGACTGCTGGAAAAGGCATCTCAGACTGAGTTACTGGCGTTTGCGTGCCAGATTCCAACGGTGTATTTACACCAGATGCAGTTCCCGAAAGGACTCTATCATAAATATGCTTATCATAGTTAGGAGGACTTAATAAGTCCACCATTGAATTTGGGACGTTTCCATCGATATTTGTTGCAGCTCCCGCATGTGTGATATCTAGGTCAGATGTTAAATTGTTAAATATCACATCATTATCAAAGCCCGGACCTTTATCTGTAATTGAAATATCTACATCTTTGTGATGATGTTTGTCAATATCACTCTCATCGAAATTCCTAACAGCTAGTGGAATGAATGGAGATACAAATAGTTGGATAGGTAACGATGCCCTTAATTCAGATACGTGTTTGTCTGGGTTAATCAATGGTATCACAAACTTAAGTTTATGACGAACCTTAATGTTCCTAAGAATAGAACAGTCTTGAGTACACTTAGACAAGCTTGCAGGGATTGGCAAATTTAGATCAAGCTCCCATCTATCCTTAAATTCCGAATCTTCTTCATTAGATGGATTTATATTTTCCGATGCATAATTTAATGGATCTTTAACCTTCATCTTAGTCACAATTCTTTCTTGATTTATAATTGTTCCAAAATTTCCACAAAACTGTGAACTCTCGACTAATGCTATTTTTATGGGTCCTAATTTTAAACCTTTCAAAAGCGGCACAAGCAGCATGTTGATTGGAGTTGAAGACCCTATTGCGACAGCTTTGGAAGGTGCCGAAATTGTATACTCAACTTTACCAGGCCATTTATTATCAACCGCAACAGTTTCTGATAATTCTACCACATCACTACAAAGAGTACGTACTATACGTACATGTTTTGTACAAATATAAACATTATAATGAGTTTTTGCTTTTTGAAGGCAAGCACGTAAGGTATAAGTTACCGAAGCATTTGGCAAACCTTCTACACTTTCTGTTAATGATCCAGGTAAAATTGCACTAAACGGGAATTCATAATTTCCCTTAATAAAAGTTCTATAGCCTTGATCATTTTTCGAAGGTAATTTCTTTAATGAAACAGAGGACTTAGATCTTCTATTCAATTCAATTGAATTCCCACTTTTAGAATCTGTATCGTTCGAAGCATCTTCTCTAAAATCATTAAAGTTATTCTGCAAATAATTTTCTAAATTAAAGTCGTCCCATTTGTGTTCGAAGAAATTTTTACAGAACCTTGTGTATTTTTTAGTTCCGTGTGGATTTTGATCATCCAATATATTTAAACATAATTTACCAATTAATGACAATTTCAAAGCTTTGATAGAAATTGGTGACAATACTGATAAAACAATAGTTCCCGATATTAAAACCGAAGGTGCTGATTCACCTGGTCCTTTCATAACGATAACACCATCTTCTGGATCATGTAATCTAATATCAAAAAGAACAGGATCCTTGACATTTATCTTGGAATGAGAAAACATTTCCCAAAAACCATCTAAAACTAAAATAAACTAATCACAATATAGAAATCTCTCTTGATCTTAATATTGAAATCCTGGAGCTCCTGAAGATAAATATAGATGCTTATCTCAAAACACCCAATGCTTTTCAAACAAAAACAGTATTGCAATCACAGATATAGACTAAAGATATAGAACTGTGACTGTTGGAAATAAGAGAAAGTTTCAAATACTTAATCAATTATCATTTATATATCAAAACTCCTTTATCTTCCCCCACATTATTTATCATGATTGCTGTTTTATTCAATTTTATACCGATATCAAAAGCTTATAGAGATATGCATTAAAAAAATATCACCGAGTCTTAAGATAAAAGGTTTAATTTCGATTAGATTTTAAAAAGGAGTCGATAATTAGATACTAATCCAGTTTGATAATTGGGGAGTTATTGTCAATAATTAATAGTATGAAGATATAGGTTTTTAAGACATTTTGGATTGTCTTGAGAAGTTAATATTTCATGAAGTTTTCTTGAATATTGTTAATTTTTTTTTATTTTTTTTTTTGATTCAAAGCACATTTTAGCTTACAGATAAAATAGGATATATTCAAATATATTTTAAACTGAAGATGATGCATATATTTATATATTTATATCTATATATATTACTTTAATTGTTTGCTTCAACCACTATAATTTTTCAGTTCGTTAGGATTGAATATTGCGACAATAATAAACAGTCACCACCTCTTTCTGGATCTAGAATGTAGTTGTAATAATTACCGTCCGAGGACACGATTCTAATTGGTTGCATCTTCATGAGTTTAGGATTTTTAGACTGTGATATGTTGGACGTGGTATCTTGACCTTGGTTAAATAGTTCAGGATATTCAGATGAATCTAATTCGATTTCTTCACCAAAACACGATATGCTTTTTATCTGACCACCAGCACCCGTAGAATTACCACCGCCTGAACCTGTAGTAGGTAATTTGAAACTTGCAAAATGCCTTGAAGATTCTAAGATAGATGCCACTTTTAGTGGGAAAATTTGGCCTAATTTTTTTGCTGCTTGTCTAGATAATTGTTGAGACGATTTTCTGATCATACGACCCACTGTACTTCTTGATGTATCTACATGCGGATCTTTAGATTGAGACTCCGTAAGGCTTTCTGATGATAGATTGGTTACAATTTCAGAATCTATATTGCCAGCATTTAAAGAATCATCATCTGTGTTATTATTATTATCATCACTGCTAGTTTCCATAATTTTCCCCAATTTAAAAATATGAACAGTTTTGCTTGAAGATGTAGCCGCTAAAAACTGGTTATCTTTGCTAAAGGCTAATGAGTAAACTTCTGTTGGATAAGTACCTCTTCTGAATTGATATATTTTAGCACCGGTTTCGACATTGAAGACTCTTATTATAGTACCTTTTTCGGAAGCTGTTGCCAAAAGAGAACCATCAAAACTCAATGTCAAAGCTGCAATGGGACCTTTATGAGCTTCAATAACCATTGTAGGTTGCAATGTTTGTAAATCGAAAAGTATCACATCACCATTCTTCATTATGGTGCTATTGCTACTTCCGGTTATGCCTGTTTGTTGAAATGATTTAGAATTAGAATTTTCTTCATTATTGCTATTATTATTATTATTATTATTATTATTATTATTATTATTATTATTATTATTATTATTATTATTATTATTATTATTGTTACCGTTATTACTGTTATTGCTACCATCGTAGCTTTTCCCATCTTGGATAGTCTCCAGCGTGTTCCCACTAAAATTAGACCTCTGTTGTGGATTTAAAGGCGGCTCAACTTGAGACGATGAGCTCGATGCAATGGAAATATTATTAGTGGTCAAATTCGATTTTATGTCTGAGTTGATGAATTTTGGAGGTGAAGGATATGCCAGATACATGTTATGGTCAGGAGAAGGAGAAGACGATATCGAAATAATTCCCAATTTATTTGATGTAGTTTCAATAGTATGTAATAACCTCATATTATTGATATCGTAGATATAAATTTGATCCCTCAATAAAACGACTAACCTGGACTTATTCATTTTAACAGAAAGAATAGCAGACGGAAACGTAACTTCACATATAATTGAATACGTCTTTGTATTGATCATAGTTAGTCTTCTTTGAGATAATGCAGGTTGATCCCCCAACCCAACAACTGCTAAAAGGGATGTAGAAAATAACATCTCTACTATAGAATAACTATCACCTTTCCCATCATTATTCAAAGTAACATTTACAGAATCTGATGCCGACACATCTTTCTGAAACAACTTCTTTTGAGAATAAAATTTACCAAAGGGATCACAATTATAAATACTAAATCCATCATCAGTAGCAATGGAAATACAAGAACCGGTCTGATTAAAATTAATAAAATTAATGGTGGGAGGATAATCAATCAACATAACGACAACTAGATAAACATAGCCTGACACCTATCCTAGAATTACGTCTTAAATTCAATTGCTCTTCTGTATTGTCATGAAATGTTACTCTTCTTATTATACAATTAACTTTTTAAAAATGTATATGGTCTTGCTCTCTCTTTGTCCAATTTAAGATTAAATCGCCAAATTGTTGATATTAAAGAGTGGGCATATGCGCAGCGCTACCACTTAATCATGTAAGAGATTAAAGTATTTATGAATTGTTGAAGTTGCTGGCATCAAGGGTATAACATGGATGGAACACAGTGTAAACTCGATTTGAGGAGGGAGAAGATGGTGGAGTTGAGTTACAATTTGTGTTTGTCAAAGAAGAGACTAGTTTACTTGAAGTCTGAGGGAATCCAAAAGAGAAGATGTCTTTTAAACGAGACGAATCCGATAGTCAAAGAACTATTGGTACTGGTGCAACTTTAATATTCCTTTTGGGACTATAAATGAGAGACTTCAGTATTAGGGTTTTTACTTGATGTGTGCAGGTGTGCTTGCGTAGCTTTACAGTTACTGAACAGGTTGGGAGAAGGCTTTTTTGATTTTGGTGGAAGAACAAACTGTCATTCGTCGCATATGCCAGTATCTTTGGGGTGCAGTAGATCACTATTACTTCAACAATACTGATATTTAGTCAATGACAGGGAAAATAAAGGGCTACATATATTCTTTCCCTTTTATTTCAAGTAATTTAAAAATCATATCATGTGATTATCACGTTCCTCTGTATTAAAAATATGGTTGTCTCATTATTTTCAAATTTCAACAAATAAAAAGGTCCCTTGGCCCAGTTGGTTAAGGCGTGGTGCTAATAACGCCAAGATCAGCGGTTCGATCCCGCTAGGGACCATTTATTTTTCCATATACTATTAATTTTTTTTGAATACTTAAAAGGCACACAAACACTCACACACTCACACACTCACACACTCACATAAGTACATGCAACTTGCCTTATCCAGTTTCGCCAATCGACAGCAGTAAGTCTCTAATTCCAACTTTTGTCTTAGTCATTAAATTATACATCGTTTATCTAGTTCTATAGCTGTATATAAGTCGAGAAACAAAACAATCTAAACGCCCCATAAACCAATCTAGTCAGTTCACATTATCCATTCTGTCATAATATAGTTAGCCTATTCTATAACACAGTCTATATTCCTCCATCACCTAGGCTAAACTGGTGGGTCAGTCCTACGCACTATATCTTGCACAGTATCTGATAAATCTGGGAACTCCTCTACAATCTTTTCAGCCAAAGAGTCCCTCAATTGCTTTAAACCATGCATTTTAGCCCTTTGGTATTGATTTGATCGCCTAATTGCTTCAACAAACTCTCTTGTATAGATATCTGGATTTCTACCATCTTCAATATACTGCACCACCTCCAGCGGAATATCGACATTCTGCAGCTGTGTGTCAACTCTATTACTATTTTGATTTAATTTTTTTAACCTATCAACATTTCTTCTCAAATTAGTCACCATCCCTTGGGAAGCCTCTGGAGTCCCAGGGAAATCATAAACAGATACACCTAATTCAATGAACGACTCAATTATGGAAGCAACCTGTTGCTCAGTCTTTGCCAATTCATCTTGTAGTATACTTTCATCCACCATTTTCAACAACGAATCAAAAAATATTCCAAATTTCCAAAATTCTCCTTCAAATAACTTGAAACAAAACCAAACCAAATATAAACTAAACACAGAAATCAATCAAAACACACACACGCACTCTAGAATCCAAAATGAATCGATCTAATACCTCTTTTGTCGTTAGTTTACATCACTTTTCGATCCAAAAAGTGTTAAAATAGCATCGAACTTTTAAATAGGAAATGGAAAATTATCCAGATATCAATTAAAGATATCAATGAGATATGATATTAAGAGAAAAAGAATAAGTCGATGGTAAGAACAAAGTTATGATTAAATGGTTAAATAAGGTCAATTGGAGTGGTGGAATGTTGATCTAGTTGATGGGTCAGTTTATATATCAAATGTTAGTTGGTTCTGGTGTTTGATTTGGGGGTTTACTTGTCTCTAGACCATCTCACGTGGAGTGATGATGATGCAATTTAAATAATGCATCAAACGACGTTAGAGGATTGATATATAAGTAAGGATACTGATTCGACAAAATAAACGTCTGGTTTAGGAGTGTTGTAATGTAAGTTAGGATCGATTTTAATTGGTATTCGTTTATATTTTTTGTTGATCAGGGGGGCAGGGCTTTTGATCTATTTTCTGTTGGAATTTAAGGTTTCAAGAGTCTCTTAATTTTGAAGCAGAGGAACGACTTAATGGAAAATTAGTGTGTTTGAGCAATGACTACTGATAATTGTGATGCGTATGAGTTGAATAATGGCATGGTAGTTAACCAAAGACAGATTGATCATTGGAATCGAGCTCTCAAGGAATTGGAATCTCCTTTGGAGATTTTGAAATGGGCTTTGGTCACGTTTCCAGGATTGTTTCAAACAACTGCGTTTGGACTAACAGGTTTGGCAATTACTGACATGCTCTCTTCATTGACCAAATATAATGGAAACAAGATGGTAGGATTAATCTTTATAGATACCTTGTACCATTTCCCTCAAACTTTGGATTTGGTTCAAAAAGTTGAAGATAAGTATTATGCAAAGTATGGTCAGTCTGTGAATATTTTTAAACCAAAGGATTGTGAAACTTCTCAAGATTTTGTTAAAAAACATGGCGATTTCTTATGGGAGGCTGATGATGAGAAATACGATTTCTTGGTTAAAGTAGAACCTGCTCATAGAGCTTATGAAGAGTTACATGTAGCCGTGGTGCTGACAGGTCGCAGGAGATCTCAAGGTGGTTCTCGTAGTTCGCTGCCATACATCGAAATTGACAAGATAAATAAAGTATTGAAAATTAATCCACTAGTTAATTGGGATTTCAATGACATTAAGAAATATATCGATGATAACAATGTCCCATATAATGAATTGGTAGATTTGGGTTATAGATCTATCGGTGATTACCATTCAACAGCACCGGTTCAAGCTGGTGAAGATGAAAGATCAGGTAGATGGAAGGGTAAAGCAAAAACCGAATGTGGTATTCATGAAACAAGTAAATTTACCAAATTTTTGGACCAAAATAGTAGAACTTTATAGACTTTTTTTTTATTGATATTTAGTTTAAGCTTCCAAGAAAAAAGCAGTAAAAGTTACTTGAAGGAAAGAGGATTCCTAATCAATTAAAACATATTAAGGGTTTACCAATGTTTTCAATTTTGATCCTTAATATAACTCTCATTCTCTTAATACAAAGAGCCGACATACAAGAACAACATTACGCTTCTTAAAATCAATCTTGTAAGGTAAACTTTTTAAACTCTTAGCTGAGTACTCTTCCTAGAGACAAAGGCAAAATTCACATACAACCAAAATTTAAACTCCTGATGAAAGGAATCTATTTACAAGATTAGATCATTATTAAGCATTATCACTAAACTTAGAATCTGACACCATCCCCTAAGTTCTAGAATCAAGATAATGATTTTGATCTTAACGATTGCAAGCAATATTTTAACAAAAGCTTCAGAATGACTTATTATAAATTAAATATACAAAAGTTTATTCTACATAATTTCAGTTTAAAGGGTTTCATTTGAGAAAGGGTTGGGATTGCAAATAGTTACCATATTAACGTAATCTGGATTGCAAATAAATACAGATGATAGAACAATTAGTTTGGAATTTTCTTACTAAACAAATAATAAACGGACTCAAACCAAAAATTTAATCATTTCATAGGACGGTACACTTTCTCTTCTTCTTCTTATCTGAAGAATTCTTCTTAGCTTTACCATTTTCCTTTGATTTTCCCATTAAAGAAGCTCTAGTAGCGGCTTCAAATACTTCTCTAACACCATAACCAGTCTTTGCTGAACATTCAAAGTAACCGGTGGCACCAATTTGGTCAGCAACGTCTTGACCTTCGGAAGTAGCAACAGGTTGTTGACCAGCTTCTCTCAATGCATTGATGGTGTTTGGATCATTTCTCAAATCAACTTTACAACCAACAAGAATAATTGGAACACCTTGACAGAAATGTAAAACTTCTGCAATCCATTTTTCTTGAACATTTTCCAAAGAATCTGGTAAATCAATTGAGAAACAAATTAAAACAACGTTTGAATCCGGATATGACAAAGGCCTTAGTCTATCATAATCTTCTTGACCTGCAGTATCCCAAAGGGCTAATTCAACACGACGACCATCAACTTCAACATCGGCAACATAATTTTCAAAAACTGTTGGTACATAAACTTCTGGAAATTGTCCCTTAGAAAAGACAATCAACAAACAAGTTTTACCACAGGCACCGTCACCAACAATAACTAACTTTCTTCTAACACTTGATACTTGTTGAGACATTATTATTATTATTTATTATGAAAAATTATGATTTCTTATGGGCAAAAAAAATAGTATGATTATTATGAAATATTATTATGATTATTAGTATTATAAATATGCAAATTCGAAACCTTGTCCAGTACAGCAATATATGTAATTGGTCTCAAAACAAATTTTAATTTTCTTTTTTTATTTGATCCTTGTATATTTATTTATCTTTGAAACAGTAAAGCTCGACTCGGGATTGTGATTTAACGATAATGAACAAATTAAACACAACTTCCAAAGATATAGCAACAGATTAAAAAGAGAATATAGTATATTTTAATAGAATCGAATAGCTAAAACCAAACAGAATAAAAGTATATCAGTAAAATTTCAATAATCTCTTGGTTGATTCCCTTTCTTTGATTTCCAAACAGACAAAAGTTAAAATTTGTAAAATTAGAATCCTTGCAGTAATTAGCCAATCGAGAGAGAAAAGAATAATAAAAAAGAGGATAAAACAAACAATCAATATAAAATAATCAGAATAAATACCTTAGATCAATTAACAAGTACTACTTTTATATAAATTACAACCATTCATCTATAAATATCATTATTATTACTATTGTTATTATCACTGTTGATTGTTATTATTTCCTTGTTGCTTCAATGTGATATTTCCCCCTCTCCCGATATAACAAAACGTTGAAAATTGAAAAATCACGAAATCCGGGTAAATCACGTGATGATAATCATGCTGATCATGTATTTAGTTATATAATGGAATGAATGGATTGACCTCTGTGGGGATTACAGTCTCTTGAGATTACGCACTGTTAGTTGTTAACAGTTTTTCGTTTAATCTCGTAATAATTATAATGATCTAAATAATGTCTGTATGATATTTTATTAATGCTATTAACTTCATAAAATCATTTTAGAGAGTATAGTTCACTGAATCCTTTTCGAAACTTCCTTGATTGGAAACTGGCCAATAACCAGACTCTGTGATTTGATTCCTGAAGAAATTATGTTTAAATGAAGGTATGTAGTATTTCTTTACCGTTGAGTTCGTAGCCTGACAGTTTTTTTGGAATTGGAAAACCGTTTGATCTTGCGTTAAAACGTACAAGTTCCCGTCATTCTTGTCATAAGTAAGGTTTTTGACTAATTTCTCTATCGGAACTACCATATAATAGTCTTTACCCTTAAGGATTTTGTCCTCAAATTGCTTATATTTCCTGTCTTTTAATATTTTTTCGAAATGCAGCTTATCTACTTGATTCCACAAATTAGTGCTCAAACTAGGGGTCTCAAGCTCTTCAACATATGAAAAAGGATATGATGAACTAGTATCGGGCCTATTGTCCTCAGTAATTCTTGATGATACTCCCGTATTTCTCACTCCTCCTGAAATGTAATCATATCCTTCCCAATCAATTTCATCGTCAGTGAAATACGGCTCTTCGGAAAAAAGATCTATTGGATAACCATTGTCATTATTAATGGGATTATCACCACTCTCATAACCTACATAAGAAGCATCCTCATTCGAAATGCGTTTATCTGGCGCATCAAATATATGCTGACGATCTTCTCTTTGAACATTGTATAGCGATAAATCTTCCTTAGGTGTCACATCTGTAAAGATAGTTGTATCAAAAAATAGAAGTTCCGACACATGTTCAGATCTACCTTCACACCTCGTAGCAACAACAAAACAATTTTCATCAATTGATTTTATTTTAATAATATATGAGCTCAGAGGTATTATAAATTCAAGTAACTCCAACTCTCCAGAGGCACAGCTTTTACTAAAATTTCTAAAGCCATACAACTTATTCCACTTACTCGTAGTAAATATAATATTTTCACCACACACATCAAAATCAGTTACCAAACTACTACCATTGAATTCCAATGTCTTCATAGGAACAAACTGTTCACCCACAACATTGAAACAATAAAGTTTATCCATTACAACAGTTGAAGGATCATTAGAAATATTCCTATCATAACTTGGAAATGAGCCATTGGCAAAAATATAAATATTTCCATTTGGTTTTACAATTATCTTGTTATTGATTTTTAGATCAAAACTGTAACAGTTCAGCTCCGTTATATCAATCCCACCACGCCTTGGATCGAGTTTAACTAATTTTATTGCAGACTCAAAACTAACGAGAAGCAAAATGGTGTTCGAACCTTTTTGAGAAGGCAATTCCAATACATTGGTAAGTTTTGAACCACCTATATTCATCAATACCGTAGCATCTAAAGATACACTTTTACCGTCTGCAAGCTTCACACAATCCCACTCATTGGATTGGATATTTGTAACGATCAATCTGTTCATTTTTTCCACATAAATAAATTTCTTTAGTAAGCTTCTTGTAGATTTTAATAAAAAATTGGACAAATTAAAGGTAAAATATGCTGGATCTAAAACGTGAAGTCCGTCAGCAAAAAGAACATAGAACATTTTTGATGAATCATCGACTCTTATGTCTAATATTGGATTAAACTTACCTGAATAAGGAACTTTTAATTCGTAATGGTATGAATTTTCTTCATTTTCAAGATATACTACTGCAATTCTAGAAGATGAAAAAATCAGATAGTTATTCTTACTAACTTTTCGAATCTTACTGACTCCAAATCCGTGTCCTTTCCAGGTATAAGTGAAATCTGATTTTAAATTGGTCGACACTACGATGCTATCATTATCCTTAAAATAAATGACTTTAGGTCCGTCTATGAGATAAGAAATTTTATTATATTCCAATTGCACAAATCTAGTGCCATCCTCACTTAATACCTTAAAAAAATCTTCATTTTTATTATTTTTAATCTCCTCAAGGTTTTTTGATCGCACTATACACAAATGATCATTTATTTTCAATGCGATAGACTTCTCTGATAAAAGTACAAAATCCTGGAAAACTGCTTTAGTAAAATTTTTTAAATTGGCAAACTCCTTAAATTCACTTTTATCTCCTAACTCTTCAATATCATCGATATGCCAAACTTGATCCTTCTCCTTATTCCAAACAATACATTCATTTCCCCAATAAGTTGTTCCTTCTAATTCCCATGATGGGGAAAACGATTTTTTCGTCAAATCATCTTCATCTAAGGAATCAACATACACTGCTTTTGTAGAAATTTGAACCATTCTAGCTTTAGTGAAATAAAATGCTAGAGTTCCACAACTCGTTTCACATAGAAGATCATCCATATCTATCAACTGAGGCCTTTCATTAGAAATCTCTAATATATATGCTCTTGAAACAGAAATAGAATCAGTTGCTACTATTAAGCAACTTTTTTTATATTCCAAACTGGTAATGCTATCAAATATTTTATCTTTAAAATCATCGGGAATATTATTATGATTGATTACAAAGAATCGATTAAATATTTGGAATTGATGGAGCTTAAAATGAGTATGGACTTTCCTTATTCCAGTTCTCATACTCAAGTTGGAAATTGCCATTGAAGAGGTTAACCATAATTCAGAACACTTAAAATTTGATCTAGAGGGAACACATAATAAATCTGTATTTAATTCACTAGAGCTATCCAAAGTGTGTTTTTTCACTATACCATTTAGTGACATATTCGATCTATTTAATTTTTGTTCCGTTAGTTCATACAACTGTGACAAATCAACGGTTAAAGTCAAAGTGCGACCAAAACTAATGACAATAATTTCATAAAAATTGGATTCTGGATTTAAATTGATTTCTGATTTAACTGGACAAACATTTAGAAGCCCTTTAAATTTTGTTAAGTAAAAGAACTTGACTAAGTTATCGGGAAACATGACAGCCATGCATATGTTTCCTGATCCAGTAAACATCAATGTACAGTATTCTGCATTCTCAAATCTTGATTCATCAATAATTTTCAATTTATTTACTAAGAGTGGCGCTTGAAAGAATGATTTCAAGCCACGTAGCTGCTTATATCTAAAATTCTCAAAGGAAGTTTCACCTGACATAATCTGATTTGCAGACACTAAAGAGATTGAATCAACCGAATAGACCAATACATTATTAGATCCAATTGGGATACATTTGAGAGGTTCGTTAGTATTCAGTAACGTTAATTGATGAACAGATTTCGATTTTGGTTCTGAACTATCCCACTCTATGCAAATATAAGCTATTCTCCCAAATCGAATCATTGGTGCGAATACTATGTAATGTTTTTTCTCTGAGTGCAGTGTAATATTTTGTAAAAATACACAATCTATTATTTTTGTATTCTCCAAATCCAAGTTATTCACCAATTGAAAATTTAATTCATTTTTGAATTGGAAGAATTTTAGTTTCCCTAATTCCTTATTCACGGCAATGAATTGTGAATTATCGAAATCATTCAAAACCAAAGTCCATTTAGAATTACTCAAACAGCCATTACCTAATGTCCAATATTGTAATAATATTAATTTACTCAGATCGTCTGAATTAGGAATCAAATTTAGTAAAATGCCATTATTTTCCAATACTAATATACCATTATTTAGGTTTTGATCAAATGCGTTTTCATATATTTTACAGTCATTGATGCCATACTTAAAAAGTTGCATTTTTAAACTTCCTACTTCAAATATAGAATTCTCCGATACTAGTAAGTAAGTTTCTTTAAAACCATCTAATTCTTGTTCTGTATCTTCCTCAAAACTTTCATCATCTGTTTCCATTAAAGGAGAGTATGGACCGCTTTCAATCTTTTTATCTTCTTGATTTTGACCTAGTAGTTCTTCTTCTATGGGTCTACTTTTTCTTTGCATGAGCATATCAATTTCTGAGTCATCCAATGTTTCAGAGTCCCTTTGTAAGCCAAAAATATCAGACACCCTGGCCTTGTTTTTTGAATAATATTCAGGTTCTGTTTTACCTATTCTAGTCCTCAATCCATTTAGTAATTCTTGGTGTTTTGTCTTGCTCTTCGTGACTCTCATACGTAAACAGAATCGAGGTATTCTACCATCTCTCTTTTCTATAAAATCGAAATGTGGATATATATTTTCAAACAACTTCTTTTTATTTTTAAAAGATGGACTTTTCAATATTTCCCACTTATTCGTTTCTAAATCCAATTCCCTTATATCAGATAACCATCTTTTCTCAACAAATTTCTCCACATTAAAGTCATTTATATTATCTGGACTTGTTAATATATTCATCTCAATGTATGTCAGTTTCTTACCAGACCCTGTCCAATATATCAATCTAAAAAACTAAGTGATCCATATAGAGATGAACTCTCACTTAAGTACAATGTTTTTTTACCAATGATCTCAATAACTTGGAAGGCAATAACTTGAACTACACAAGTAAACACCATACTTATAGCGTCTTTATCATTCTAATTGGTACTGCATTTTAAGGTATTTACAACTTTTAATCATTAAAATTACATTTCATATAGTTTTTGTTCGGGCATCGATTAAATGAATATTTCAATATACCTTTTCTGTGATATAGCCAATTTAGAGAATTTTAACCAGAATTAAGATATATTAAGAGAACATCTATAAATATTCCATTATTAACCTTATGGATACAAACCACGGGATATATACATAACATATATATATCTGGGAATGCCTTTTCACAGTTATACTACCGTCTCAATTCTCTGGCAAACACAATCCATAATATTATAATCCTTCGCTCATTGCAGTGAGCTAAACCAACATTGCATACTCAAATCATAATATAATATCTTTCCGTAACCTACTAAATCAAATCAAATGTAGTTTGAACTTGTTTACTGATAATTCCTTAATATATAGACTTATAAGTAAGGTTCCAGATAATAGTTGACTCTAAAATAATAGCCAAAGTACAGTCGACAACAAAATATACAACATGTGTATCCTACACATTCAACATTAATTACCATTTTCCAATCATATACTATTTAAAAGGGCCTTTTATTTAAAGTATATGTATATCTTCTCATCTCTCCAACAGATATATCTCTTAAATATCCATTGTCAAACTGACGATCTTGTTTCAATAACATTGAATCCTCAACGAGGTCAAAATATTTGTGAATTCCAACAAATTAGGAGGAACTAGTTACATTAATTTCCTCTCTTTTGTTTTGCTTCTTTTTATAATCAAATGGTTGTTAAAAGATTATAGTTAGCCGCCCAATCGTTCTTTTTAAAGCTATATAAAATCAGCTTTATAACTTCATTTGAAAGTTATTTAACAGGATCAAGAAAGATTAACAAACACAATCTATACAACCAAAATCAATGTGTCAAGGCCCTGAGTGGGTTTGGGAAATGTGTTGTTGTGTTTTGGAATTTATTAATGATTTGATAGTTGCATTTATATTCAAGACTGACTGTAGATTAGCTTTGTAAGTCTTTACAAGATATATTTTGGTCATCAAAGTGATATTGAATGATGGGGAGGACTAAAAAGAAGAAATATAAAAAATGGAGAGTACTTTATATTCACATGAATTTCCAATTGTGGTAATGTAGTAATTGCAATGAGTTCATGAGAATCGCCATTATTGGATAGAATCCATAACCAAGCAAAAAAGATATTAAAGAAATGGTATCAATTTAATTAAATAATTAGCAGTGATATATTACTACAGGATGCATGAAGTGAGCATCCTAGTTGAAGAGATACCAAATACCATCATTAAACCTTTAGCTGTTGAATTCTCCTGTTATATGCTGTATTAGATATGTATTCCTTATAGCGATGCTATTTGAATATATAACAAATCACGTGATACACATATTTTTCTTTAGAGTTTTAAACTTAACTTAACTTAACTGCTGCCAAACTGAAGTAGCAATATGTATTTATCATTTGAAATCGGGAATCGAGAGCTACAATTGAGAAGATTCATTTCATCTAACAACAGTGCATCGAATCTAGTTATCATCGAATTGAGTCTGATCGAGTATTTTAAAATCAATTCATAAAGTGTCTGCCAATTTTGTACTGCTGCGGTAGACAACTAATAATTTCACATCTTCTACTTATATTTTGGGATATTACATGGTATCTTTGGATCTCTATTCGAATTAAACAATAATTATTGTATTGACTAATTAAAAGGAAGATGGATAAGGTTGATTCTGAGTTTGGTCCATTAAGGAAGTCCAAGGGAAAAGTTGATTCGAATAAGATCATCGATGATATAAAAGTCGATCATGAACAATCTAATATTTTGAAAAACATTAGTCTGATACCGATCAAACGTAATTCAGAGGACACAGATTATGATAATAAAGATGGTGATATTTCAAATAATTTAAAAAAGAGCAAGGTGACAACAAATAACATGGATCAAGAAAATGAGGCAACTACGAAAAAGGATATGGAATCTAGCCCTTCAAGTTTGATTTCAAATACACATGCGAATGTAGAATCTGACTTTATGAAATTGAAGGAATATTTATTAAAGCAAATATATCATACATTACCTCTACCAGATACACATATTTTTACATATTTAAAAGATACTGAATCTGAAATTGATAGAATATTAAAACAATCAATAATTCAAAAAGAATCACACTCATGCATACTTATAGGACCAAGAAAAAGTTATAAAAGTTTTCTATTAAATCACCAGATAAAAAAATTGTCGGAAAACTATAAACAACAATTTATAACGATTAAATTAAATGGGTTTATTCATTCTGAATCAACTGCAATCAAAGGTATTGCTACTCAATTAGAGAATCAATTATATAAAATTCATGGTAGAAAGAAAGATAAAAAAAAGTCAGAAGAAGAAGAAGAAGCTACAATTAGTAGCGGTTCATTAACTGAAGTTTTCGAAAAAATTTTGAGAGTTCTAGATACTTCAAAATCGTCAAAACATAGCTCCAATACTAAAATAACTGTCGTCTTCATCTTCGATGAAATCGATACATTTGCTGGTCCTGTAAGACAAACTTTATTATATAACTTATTTGATATGGTTGAACATTCTAGGGTCCCAGTTTGTATATTTGGTTGTACAACAAAGTTAAACATATTAGAATACTTTGAAAAAAGAGTAAAGTCAAGATTTTCCCAAAGAATATTATATATGCCACAGATAGAAAGTTTACAACAATTCACAGATACTACAGAAGAATTATTAAAAGTACATAAGTTAAATGCTTTCGAATATTCACAGCAATGGAATACATTTATATCTGGCGAGTTAAAAAATGGATCCTCACCTCTGTCAAAACTAGTCAAAAAAGACTACGAATTATATAATTCCATTGTACATTTAAGACACTCTCTAGTACCAACCATTTTTAGAGCAACATCATTTTCTTCCTTATGTGAATACTTTAAAAGTTATAATGTATTAAACAGATATGATATGAATCAAATGGATGATTCGTTGGTAAAGAAAATAAGTTCATTATCAGATCTAGAACTAGCATTCTTAATTTCAATTGCAAGAGTTAGTTTAAGATCAAGAGATGAGACATTTAATTTTAATTTAGCTTATGCTGAATACGTCGATATGATTAAAATTTTAAATGCCAAAATCCCAACGCTAGCACCTTCAGCGGCAAATGGTAAAACCATCAATTTTGATAACACTACAAAGATTTGGAGCAAAAATGACCTAAAAAATGTATGGGAGTCACTTATCTCATTAAACTTTCTAACTGAGAAAGGTGATCTAGGTCTTAGAGAAACTGCAATCGCCGTATTCTACGCAAGTAATTATCAATTCCATGGATCTACTATACCATTTGATCTAAGAATTTTCCAGTCACAAGTTACCTTGCATGAATTAAGGAAAACAATACCTAAATCTTCATTGTATTATTCATGGACTCAGTTATGAATAATATTTGCTATGTCATCTAGATTAATTCTCATTTATTGGACAATATAGAGATAATAATTGTTATTATATACAATGTCTAATGTTAATATATATCTATTTATCAACAATCTCGATTAAGTTGTAATATTATATTATACTGTATTATATTATTCTTTTTGTTTTGTTATATTCTATTTTATTTTATTTTATTCTATTTTACGCACTTAGTAATTTATACACGACATTTGATAAACTTAAGCAATTGGTTCCAACGTGGTACCCTTTTTAATTGTAGCCCAACCAATTAAACGCCAATGCTTCTCTATACGTCTAGATAAAGCAATCTTTTCATTAACTTCTGTACAAGCTGGGGATGTTAATTGTAATCTAGCCATATCCGCTTTAACAGCGACAACACGAGCACCTGTGGCAGTCGAACCAATATTAACCATCAGCACTTCATTTAGTTCCAATTTTCTAACTTTAGCCTGCTTTTGACCATCTGTTTTGACACCTAACAAACGACGCAATAAGAAATAATTAATTTCAATATCTGTGTAAATACTAGGTAGATGACCTTTAGCACCAACCACTTGACCAACTAAACGATCTGCTCTACATAATGTTGGATCAACTTTAGTACCAACACCAATCAAACCACCAGGGACTGCGAATTTTAAATCATTTTGTTCAGCAAATAAAGATACAATGTTAGAGAAAATTGGCTTACATTGAATTTTACCTTTATCATCCTTAGTGACAATACCAGGTCTAATTTCGATTTCATCGCCTAATTTGAAGACACCGTTCAAGATAGAACCACCAGCAACACCACCCTTTAAACCATCAATTTCAGTACCAGGCTTGTTAACATCAAATGAACGAATAACGATCAAACGTGGAGAGATCATGAAATCTCTTGGTGGGACTGGAATTGTCTTAACAATAAATTCATTGACTGCATCGATGTTGTATTTCAATTGAGCAGAGATTGGAACAATTGGAGCACCATCAGCAATAGTACCTCTGATAAACTTCAAAATAGATTTTTCGTGTTCCAATGCACTTTCTTCTCTCATTAAATCGACTTTGTTTTGTAAAATAATAACATGTTTCAATTTCATAATTTCAATAGCAGCCAAATGTTCAGAAGTTTGAGGTTGAGGACAAGATTCATTACCGGCAATTAATAACAAAGCAGCATCCATGACAGCAGCACCAGACAACATAGTACTCATTAAAATATCGTGACCTGGACAATCAACGAAAGAGACATGACGAACTAATTCGTAACGACCATCACAGCCTGGTCTTTGACATTTTGGATGAATTTCTTTGTCAGATTTGAATGATCTGTAACAGTCTGGTTCTGGACATTCTGGATTTTGACATTTATATATTTTTGCATTAGCATAACCCAGCTTAATAGTAATATTACGTTCCAATTCATCTTTGAAACGAACAGTTTGAACACCAGAAATGGCTCTAACAACAGTAGACTTACCGTGAGCAACATGACCAATAGTACCAATGTTAATTGTAGCTTGTCTATTAATAATATCAGCAGACAATGGATTCAATTTTGTAAAATCAGGGTTTTCAGGTTGTTCAGGTAAACCACCACCTTCTTCGAATTCACGTTTTCTTTGTTCTTCATCAGCTTCTTCATCAACACCAGTAAACATAACTTTCTTCTTTGGCTTCTCTTCTTCTTCCTCTTCTTCTTGAACAGCAGAATCTAGTTCCATTTCTACGTCATGCTCATATACAACATCCTCCTCAACATCCAAATTACCATTGATAATAATGGTTGGCTCTCTATCTTGAAAATCTGTCATCCTTTTAATTTAACTAAAATGCTTCCCAGGATCTTAACAAACACTGACCTTCTATTATTCTGGACAATATAATCACTACTATACAATGAAAACTCCAACGGAAAGAACTGAAAGTTAAGAAAATACTAATAGCAAAAGATCAAAACACTTAATGATTCCCTTTTGAATCCTTTAAAGGTCTTAATCATCTAGTATCTTAAACTACTGCTGTCAACTTCTTCTTATTAGAATTTTTCATAACTAAGGTTTCGAAACTTTTGATACCAACACCTTTACACCGCACATATAACAAACCATAATATATGTATCTGACCATAAGTAAGGTTCATACTTAGATGAACTGATACACACACAAATGCCACTTTCATGCACATATTATAATTACAATTAGATATCCAATATATATATATATATATAGATATATATAGATATATACAAAGTAGATTATATATACTAGTTTCATAACGAAGGATAGAAAGCGAATTCATTCATCAACATGTCGACATCTTTCCAAACAAGATCTGATTCCCAGTTATCCCAAGATCCCATGATGGAATTTGGCGAGTCCTTTAAAATTTGTGAAGAATTCTGGTTTATTAAAGTATTTATGTCATTAGAGGGTGTTTCTCCAGTTGCCTGTAAAGGAGGGACATCACCAATTATATTTATTCTTTGACGGTCTAATATATCCATTGGGACCTGAGCTATTGATGTCACTGTTGCTGGTGCTGACGTTATCGATCCTTTTTGTTCAATATTGGATACTTCACCATTATTATTATTTTTGTTATTAAAACTATTAAGTTGAGGTGAAGTTGTCGATGCTCTTACCGGTAGGTTATTAACTCTTCCTGTATATGGCGATCTGACATTTAGGATTCGCTTCAAGGACAAACCTTCAGTATCACTATTTGGTGTCCCGATTGCACCTTCACTGCTTATAGTACTGGCATTAATAGGGTGAGGATCCAATGGAACGGTTCTAATAATTTTTCTTGCTTTTTCTTCAGGATCTTTTAATCCTAGCAGCTTTTTATCATTTCCATTTTTCAAAATCTCAGTATTATCAGTGCCTTTCTTTGCTTTAGAATAGAGGGCTTCATCTTCCTCATCATAATATTCTGATTTTTGTTCCTTTTCTCTTTCCAATTTCGCCATCCCACATTTTTGCTTTAGAATATAGAGACAGTCAAAGAATACACTTACTGACATTCTTGATTTAATAATCAGCCCTAAATTAAAGTCTTTTTGAATAAGTTCATTGTCGCGTAAATTCTCCTGTTTCCATCTTTCTGACATATTTGAAAATAAACTCCAAATACTTCTCATAATACCTGAAGATCTATATGCCATATCATGTTTCAAGACAGAGGCATTAAATGTCAACATTACAGCTTTTTGATAAACTTCTCTGCCTTTCGAAACATCCAGAACAGATGACAAAGAAGAGTGGGAGAGTTTACTAACCACACATGCTGCTTGCCAAATATTCAATACAAATACACCAGGAAAGTATTTTATAATTATGGCATCATATTGCCACATTCTATTTGCATGAGATAGCAAAGAAATAGCAGCATTATATGTTTTAACCAAACCCCGTTTGGACTCAAAGTTTAATGGTGAACTACTCAATGCATTTTTATCATTGTCCAAATCACTATCACTCATCGTTGCGTCAGTGAAATAATATGTCAATAAATGAACTTTTGTCACAAGTAATAGAAATTTCCTTATATCATCTATATTGCTTTCTTTTAGTTTTAATTCAACTTGATTCAAATGTTGACCTAGCACATTTAGAAGAGACTGCTTTTCATCTGCACCTACTAAACCAAATGTCTCAGATGGATTTGAATTAATAGTAGTAATGATTTCATTTTCAAAATGTGCAATTTCAGCCATTTGTTTGATTGCAGTTGGTATGTACTGGTTTGAAGTATTTGAAGATAAAGAAGTCCGAGTTGCATTGATTACAGTATGATCGAATGAAACATATGCTGGAAACCCAAATGATGATGCTATTATTTGGGATACAATATTACAAGAAATCCATGTTCGTACTTTTTCATTTCTCAGTTCAGAATTTATAGTGTCATATTCCTTTGAGAATTCCGCAACGTTAAGACCTACTCTAACAGCTTGGAACATTGCAGTACCGATTGTATTCCAAGATGTATCTGCACTTAATGAAGATGTCAGTGGGGGCCAAAAAGTATACAATAAGAACGCTTGTACAGAGTAAACCGATGCAACGTTTAATATAGGTTCTTCATTGTCGGTTGGTGTATATCTTATAATTGGAGAAATTGTAATTTCAGCTAGAATTGATTTTACTGATTCAGATAATTTTTTCATTAATTCAGCAGATTTGAATTTACGTCGTAGACCAATTAATAGTATTACCCAAAACAAACATGGTGACAAATTATATATTCTTTCAGCACCTTTAGAAAGGTCAACTACGGGAAGGAAAGGATGGTATTTAGTAGCAAATTCTTCGAATAATTCTGAAATTTCTTCACTACTCATATAAATATCACCTAAAGATTTTGGCTGACATTGTAATTGATCTTTTGTCATTTTATATGATTCTATAATGATATTTTTTCTTTCTTGATCATGTTGTTCTTGTTCTTTTGGATTAGTATTAGCTGTATTGAAGTAAGCAGATTTATCAAGACCTTCTTGAATTGGAGCATCTAAATTTGCTAACCTCAATTTTTCAACTTTATCCTTTGTAAAATTTCTTGAATCTAATAAATTCATCTGTTCTTCTTCAATTTTTTTCATAATTTCATCAGCACTTAGATTACTCAAAGTTTTTGTTAATTCTTTGAATCTTTGTTCGATAGCTTGATTTCGAGCTCTTTTATAAGTTCTTCTATAATCTTTTTTCAAAATACATTGCAAACCTTTCTTTGAACATTTGGTGCATGGATCAGGTGCCCTTTCCACAGCATCACATTTTGATTTTTGTTGTCTACACTCCACACAAGCAAATTTTTTCCTTCTAACTGTTCCTACAATACTAGTATCCCCATTTTCAATGTTATTGCCCTCTCTATTACTATTGTTCACTGGGGTACCATTATTACTGTACTCTGAATCGATCCCTGCAATATATTGACCGACATCCATTGCATATATACCATTATCTGAATTCATATCAATATATGAAATATATCACAAACATATATGGATAATAGTTTCAATATATACCCCTAAAATACAATTACTACTCTTCTTGCCAGTATCTTGCCTTTCTAAACCTACAAATTAAAAGCTTATTTTACAATTCAATGTCCTGTAACCACTAGTCAATTAATTAAACACGATCAAAGGTAAAAAAAAAAAAAGTAGAATTAAAATGCAAAGGTTTTAGACAAACCACTCCAACAACTACCACTGAAGGTAATAACAGCTACAAACTAAACAATCATAATCTCTTCCAAATCAAATTTACCTTAACCTGAATCCCATTCTTTTATGACTGATCTATAAAATGTGTGTTCATCTCCTGTCCAATTCATCTTGTCTTCCCTTCGAATTCAGTCATCATCATCATCGCCATTTACTCAATATCGATGCTTCTGAAAGCTTTTTAAAGATGGTTGGTAGTCTGGTGGTTTGGCAGTCTGACCTTGGGAGAACTTGGCTGGCTGGCTGGCTGGCTATTGGTTAAAGAACGTTCGTATACGACTGGAATGGGCCATTTCGAATTTCGAATTTCGAATTTCGAATTTTGAAAAAAAAGTGCGAAGAAAATAGCGGAGAAGAAGCACAATAAAAGGAAACTAAACTCATTTCGGAAAAAAAAAGAAAAAAATTTTGATCTCATCTCGACCAGCTGCCATATAAAAGGAGATGAGTTTTCTTTCATTAAATTTGGAAGCTCCATTCTGTTAGTAGTTGATCCTTCCCGAAAATAACAAGGCCAGTGTGCTCATCATCAGCCATTAACCATCTATACTGTCATTACCCTTAGAACTGCAATTGAGGAAGGGTATTTTGTTTTTTAGTTTAAGAAAGAAAGAAAAATGGGTGTATGGAAAAAATTTAAGAATCCCTCAGAAATGTCAATTTGTTGTGGGTGTCTGTTTTCCAAAGATGGCAGCTTAGGGCTTGACAAACCAAGCCTTAACTCCATTTTGCCTTCCAATAAAATACCAAATAAAGGGATTGGCTTTGTTAAGCCTTTACCCTAATTGGGAAACCTATTGGAACAATATTTTTGACATGGAATCCCGAAGTTTAAGGAAGAGAAAATTTTAATTACGGTCTCATAAGAAAAGAGGTTAGGGGTTAAGATTTAGTTTAAGAAAATGTTAAACCCTGCTTAATTCCCCCCTTTGGGCATAAAACCCTCCAAAATAAAAGTGGCCCCTTCAACCAATAAAAAAACGAGAACCCCTTTCGCCCAAGAAAACAAACAAAAGTTTTGGCTCTCCTCCCTGAGATGGTGAGGGACGCTTATCCTATAGTTGTGCCTTTTTACCATCATAGCACGAATTCGAAACATACCCACGCTAACAATTATTTAATGCGTT